TCTGCCGCAGTTAATACCAGGATTTTCCTTGAATGATATGTGTAACTTCTTTTATGTTTTCACTTAGGTATGCCTAAATGTATTCGGCAAATAAAAGAGCAACGCTATCTCTTATTATCCAGAATTCATCATTTACATAGATGAGAAAAAGAAGGGGTCCAAGGACACTCTTTGGACTACAGTACTGGGTTTGCAGAATTGGTTATTAATGGACACAACTTTCAGTCTACCAATTATGTATGAGGACGACCAAGAAAGCATTGTCTTACCAATGCCCGTAGTCCTTGACAACACTCTCTATCAAGGACTTTTTCATTTCCACTTAAATGTGGCACTCAACGCACAGCTTAAGGAAGCGGACTTTTTTATGGGTACCGCTTGGATCAACCACGAACCGACATGCTAACTAATGTTCTGACTCTGATACGCAATCGACGCGCACCGGTCAATCAATTGGAACCGAAGACCATCTTTTCTTCAAGTCGCTGTTCGTTGACTCCGATGAAGCTTCAATGTCGAATAGCACACATGCGCTGGTATCCAATCTAATAGGCATGTCTCGTTACGTTCACACGGAGCGATTCCGACTAATTAATTACAGGGAGCTGTGTGTTCGGCATCAGTGGTAATGCGAAGGGTGTATACCCAGCCTTTTTGACTAGTTTTCCAGGTACACGTAGATTAATACATTGATGTCGTATACGCGTGTCTTGGCGACACTTCATACATCATTTCCGACTGAGCGTAAATTCATTGCCAGTGTTATGTGCTTACCAGTATAACACAGTGTGCAGACATTGAAAGACCCCATGTGCATTGGTGTCCTAGATTCTAAAGCTGGCCCGCGTTCAACGGTGTTCTCTTGCTATTGAACACAAGAAGAGGATTCGCGATGCGTGCCACTTGTGCTATGCATCGATTAAACTATGAGTTTATAGAGCGTACTTTCTTGCTTACTATGGTAAAGTTCTGACGTAATATTGCCATCGATTTCTCCCCATTCTCCATTAAGAATACCAAAACTGAGCTCTGCCGACCCCTGACGATTGAAGTATATTGTATAAATGACTGGGAACACTTAGAAAGTGACACTCAGCATGGCTCAGTGAATCAATAAAATATGTCTAGCCACATCGTGTCCGTTATGCTGGAAAACTTTGAGCGACTACATCTGCCTTGGATTTCAACTAACACTCCAGTCATTGACGTATCCCATTTGGCGTACAGACCCCGAAGTTCCACGTTCGACGCCGTAGCATACTTTGTTCACTCAACAGCATCTTCCTTAGATGCGAAGTGCAAGACTGTATGGCTCCTCTTCCTTGATTACACCGACGCTTCTGATGATGTCGTCAGGTCAATCCTGCTTAATCAAATGTCAGCGAATGGTGTTCAACCAGTAGTGTGCAATTTGCTAAGTAACTACTTCTTAAATCTATATCATTTTACCCAGCTTAACAATAGGAAATCCCCGACTCTTCGTGATGACTGAGTGTCTTACAACGAACAATCCTTTCCCTTCTATTCTCTCTATACATCGAAATGCTTTAATTTCCCCCCAGTATTATTGCATGTGAGTACGCCGACGACGTCTTTCTAGGCAGCATTGCTCCTACTGCTGAACCATCAACGACTATCCAAGGCGTATCGGATGAGCTTCAGCAGTGACCGTCGTCCCGATCCCTTATCCCCAACGCTTCCAAATGCCGTGACGTAAATTAATCTTTTCTCAGCACTGACGAATGTCTGACTTGGTCAGCAACTTCTCGCCCCATTGTCGTAAGGGACCACAACATACAGTTCATCCACTGTTAACTACCTTGGTCTACAAAGATATATGCGGAAGAGATTATTCCAAGCGCTGAGAACGCGGTGACGAAATTGTCTGCTGCCAAGGTGGAGAATATTTGCACAGTTAGTAAATATCATTAGATTTCAGCAACCGGGTGAGCCAAATCTTCCGGAAACTGAACAAATCACATTGAACTCGTTGAAGGAAGATTGCAGTATTTTATTCCCAAAGGCTGACAGGAGGAAAACCCTGGTTGTAATGAATAGGTCAGCAAAAATAGAGCAACATTTGAAGTCGGGTCCATATAGTGTAGTCGTTGATAAGACCCTGACGTCAGTAATGAACAAGAGTAAAACGTAGGTTGGTAACTATTTAAGAACCGTGAGGGATGATTTAGGCGCATGTACGTGGTATAATCTGTTTCAGAAATCGACTTTACCTTCGAAGGTTTATAGCTTGCCAAAAGTACACAAACCTGAAGTTCCCGTACGGCCCCTAGTCGACGGTATAGGCTCCCCGACCCATGAACTGGGTAGATATTTGACAACGCTATTGCAGCCCCTAACAGGCGAACGAGTACATACTTGAAAAACTTATGAGTTCAAAACGATAGTAAATCTCAAAATTGAGTCAGATGAGTTGATGCTCAGCTTCGATGTCACATCACTTTTCACCAATGTACCCAAAGAAGAGGCACTAGGAATAGTAAGACGTTGTCTAAATGATGATGTCACACTGAGTGATCGAACGAAACTTACGGTTGACCAGATAGTCGAGGGCATGACAGGGTGTCTTAACATGTCTTACTTCATTTTGCAGTCGAAGCTCTACAGTAAGGAACAACGTCTGGCAGTGGGATCGCCAATATCCCCCTTACTGGCGAACTTGTATGTGGAAGACTTCAAGAACAGGGCGTTAACAAACACCAGTTACTGACCGAAAGTTTGGTGGCTCTATGTTGACAACACCTTTGTACTTGTTAAACGGGATGAGAAGAACGAGTTGCTTGATCGCTTAAACTCCATTGATGGAGCATACAGTTTACCATTGAGTTGGAATCCTGTAGCGGTACATTACCGTTTCTTTACTGCCTGGTTCACAGGAATGGGGGAGAATTAAAGACGACCATATGTCGCAAACCAACAGATACTGATGGGGTACTCCACTTCGGGTCTTCCGAAACAGATTTACGCTGGGATAGCTTCATCACTGTTCTACTGGTCACAAACCCTGTGCATGATGGAGGCGAACAAAATGGCCACATGGAAAGAGGCAATGGACTAAAAATTCGATAGTGGTTACCCACAGCGGCTAGTCAAACGCCAGTTGCATCAAGGGCCTAAACCGACAATCAAGACCCAAAACGGAATGCATAGTGACGGTAAGCCTTCCGTACAAGGAAATCACTTTGGAGGGTACTAAACAAGAAAATATAGGGGTGATTTTTCAGCGAGGTCAAACGCTACGTTCAGCACTGGTGTACCTGAAGGACCACCTTCCCAAGTATAGGAAAATTAGTTGTGTTTATAAAATTAAATGTAAGGACTGTACACATGTGTACATACATAGGCCAAACAGCGCAATAATTACGCACACGAATTTCAGAGCATAGGAGGCGTATTTCAAGATCATCGATAAGTGAGTTGAATATCAGACAATATTAGGAAACCCAGCCGTGACTAGGCATGCCCTAAATACGGGTCACCTGACTGACTTGGATAACAGTTGATTGCCGAGGCGTTGGAAACTACGAAATCGGACAGCTGTGTGAATAGAATGGAGGAGGTAGAACTCTTTAGTGTGTGGCGAGCGATCTTAAGCTGGTCAGTCTGACGAGCGTCTGTGTGCGGATCAGATTGAAAACTGCAACTCCACGCCCATTTTCACCACTCTGTGCTTATCCGTCAATGCCATGACTCACAAAGGAACACTGGACTATTCCCACTGTGATTCAACCACCTGAGGTGATATTGCGATTTGTAACTGTAATGTCACCTTGGCTCAAGTCTCGGGTAACGCGGTTATCGTCCCTGTTCGCTATGAAATGCCACTCCAATTGCACACTGGTTCATCTGTCTGACGAAGCTTCTGTGTCAAAAGCGAAACGCTCAACAACTATACCAACCGATTGTTTCCAAACCTCTCTGAACTCATACCTTGGTCTATGTTTGTCTCATAATCTGTTTTGGTCAACATGCGTTGACGAAACGTTCCGCAGGGTGTGAAAATTATCGTGTTATGCTCTGAGACTCAAAGTGTTTTCAATACCGTGCTCTTTAATTGACAATTTTGTGACTGCCTATACTCTTCCTCATTGGCTATATTGGTTACCCATACATTTACCCAGTCTTCTACAAAGACTTCACATTGACTGCGCGTTCCATTAAGCTCATTTCCAGGTTAGTGGATCGCACAGGGACCCTCTGGCTGACATCGTCGTCAATAAACATTTTGGTGCATGTGATAGCTCTTCATTAAAGATTTTCAATGACTCTTTTCACCCCATTCATGCTAATTTATCAAAAGCTCTCTTCAGCTTATCTACCGGCTCTAAATTTGGGATTCTCTTTTCTCGCACATATTTTCATAATTCTGCTTTACCGTATGTATCCCGTTTTCTTGTAGACTCTAAGAAACTTATCACCACCACACGTGAACGTTTGATTGAGTGATTTGCATGCATATTTTCTCCTTTTTACGCTTTGGTTGCAATTTCATGCCAAATTCACAGTCCTGATATAAAATACTGAAAATGCTCCTAATCGGCTTCATAAAGACTCGACTTGATGGCCATAAGGTATTGTCTCCCATGTCGATCTAAATCTAGTCAACTTCTTGTCTGGTACTTAAAAAAGGTCTATTTAATTGAACAACTCCATCTGACCTATTCGTAGACAACTTTCCCTCCTATGGGCTGGTGTACATGTAAAGGAAGTCCTCACTTTGCTGCTTGCTGATGATAACGTTGCTTCTCCGTTGGTTTACTTCTTCCTTCACTCGTTCACTTGATATTTTGTAGGACCATTTACGAAACACAATTGTCAGCGAAATACCTGGCATGTCCTTGACACTCAATTAACGTCCTTTGTCTCATTTTGTGTTTTTGAAGCGCCATTTTGTTCTATTATGCACATTATAGTCTTGTTGATCGATTGTTCGCCTTTTTACGTCTCATAACTGATTTTTTTCACTTCTTTCCACTTTTCAGCTTCCAATTTTTATGCACATCACTTACCTCTTCATCAGTATAAGCATTGGCATATTCTCCATCTATGATTCACCGAGTGACGCGGCCTTGAGCCTTGGCCTCATTGGTCTTGGAATTCCGGTCTACCTCCTGGGTGTCGTGTGGAAGAAACCCAAGGCCATAGACAATGTCTTATGTGAGTTGCACACTTTGTTTAAATTTTCTAGTTCATCTTGTTTTCAAAATCGTAACAGTGCCTTCACATTTCCACAACGAACATGGAGGACGTCACAACCGTTTATGTCTTTGACGTTTCAATTGAGCATCCGTTTATTCGACTTCGCGCTTTCGACCTCTCAGGTTTATCCACAAACTAGTGTTTGAGTACCGCTCCCTTGAGCCTGTTCCAAATTCCGCGAAATATTAAGAGCATTATCTGCATCACATTCCATCAATTGCTAGTACCGTTTCCTGGTCTGAAGAACAACGTAGCCTCTTTGTGTACCTCCGAGAGACTGAATTCTTGACATTCCATTGGCTCTGTTTTATACGATCGTATTCCGTGGGGCACGCTTCTTCACTGCGCTCCGGTGCGTTGCCGAATGGATTACAAGCCTGCCTTGTAATCCGGGGATCGTGGGTTCGTGCCTGCATTGGGGACTAGGTAGCCATCCCAGCATCCTTAGCCCATACGCGACTGGTGGTGATAGTGTGGTAGTGTGGGTGTCCGGGTTGCCAGGGAGGAGTAGAACCTCTGGGGTAGTCCGCCTATCCTTGGTCTCCACTTGTCACCCATATCTCACCTGTGGCTCCAAGAACCTGCTTGCACGCGGCAGCGACACAACCCGGGCAACCGTCAGGGAGGCGGACTAAACCAGGTGAGGGTAGCCGGGAATACTATTTCCGGTGATTTCGTACTCGCGTGCGACGTCAGTCCTGACAACCGCACGGAAGAGATCGACCCTTCATCCAACCGCCAGAAGTTAAGACAATTTCTCAGATCCATGCTGCCTTGCAGGTAGCACTTGGTTGTGCAAAGGCTAGAGTTGAACCCTCGAACAAAAGCCGGATGACGTTGGGGTCCTCATACGTACCCATAATCCCCACGAAACTTCATGACATGTCCGTTACCCATGATTCTTCTCATGCTACAGCGTTCCCGGTAGGCGATGCGCTCTGCGCTAACCCAGTGGCCAGAGTGACAAATAAGCTAGCTGGGTCCCCTCAATCCCCAGAGTCCACTATTCATTGGATGCTGGAATGTCAGAACCCTATTGGATGTCGGCAGCCAAGCATTGACGATGCGCACACTACATGACTACCAGATCGACGTACCATACTTATCAGAATCTCGAATACCCGGCTATGGCTCTCGACAATTCAAAGTCCCTGATGTAGACACCTATTGGCTTTACCACAGTGGGCCGGAAGATAATTCTGGCAATCAAGGGGTCGCTATGCCTCTCATTTGCCAGGCACACTACGCTCTCCTTTCATGGAAACCAGTATCAGCTAGAATATCAGTTGCACGCTTCAAAGGTCATACAATGAATCTGACCATAATCTTTGTCTACGCACCAACCCTACCCTCAGCGGAAAGTGACAAAGACGAATTTTACGATACTCTAAATAAATAAATAATGAATAAATTTATATTCTCGGTGTTGCACAAGGCACACCAACAAGGCATGGACAAACAGACAGTGGTGAATCATATTCCAAAACCCGACATCCTCATAATAGCTTAGGACTGGAATACACGAACCAGTCCTATGAAGCATCTTCTGACGTGGTACTCTAACGATGGTCGTACAGCAAGCCAGATAGATTACATCTTAATCCGATCCAAGTGGATGTCCTCCATCGATGACTGTCGAGCGTACAGAGGGGCTGAAACAGACAATAAAGGTGGTTCGGACCACGTACTCCTGCACGTCAAATTCAGACTCCGCTTGACAACGCGTCGAAAACCCTTCCACCAAAGCATATCAACACTGCCCCGCTGGGAAATACTGACTGCTGCCGATACCTTGAGGCAGCAATGGAAGCAGAAATTTCTGCCAGTGCACCACGCCTCGTAATTGCAGAAGATGAATCTGTAGACGCTCGTTTGTCTAGGCTAAAATCGTCAGTTCAACGCGCCGCCTTATCTACCCTGGGCTCTACCTCTATGCCTGGGAAGGAATGGATCACTGAAGCTTGTCCGCTAAAGCGAGAGAAGCACGTCTCACGAATTCCCCAGACTACCGTCGCTGAGACCTGAGGCAACCTGCTCAGCACGGGATGATCGTAACCGCTACTGGTCTGATATCGCAGGCAACATGGAAGCTGCATCAAATTCTGGCAATTTGGGTCATCACTTTCGTCTCGTCCGTTTAGCTTCCGGCAAGTGCCATTCACCACAGCTGATATTGCGCAATTCGGAAGGCCAGATCATGTCCGATACGGAAGGAAAACTTTCCAGATGGGTAGAGTATTTTAGCAACCTCCTAACCACCCACTACACACCACCGCGCCTATTTCAGCATTAACCCAGCCAGGATATGACGCGGATTGCTCACCGCCATTTCCCACAGAAATTGCAGACATCGTTCGTCACCTGAAGCCGAATAAAGCTCCGGGAGCGGACGTGATTCCAGCGGATATATACAAATCTTGTCTACCAGCTCTCCTTGATTATTTGCTCCGGCTCTTCTGCTCGATATGGGAGACCGAAATCTGTCCTTTCTCGTGGAGTACCTCAGTACTACTGCCATTTCCCAAGAAAGGTGACCGAATTGTGTGCAGTAATTATCGCGGGATTAGCCTAATCGATGTGGCTACCAAAACCTTCGCACGAATCTTGTTTCCCGCTTTGCCGATGAGAGGAATCTGCGAATGCGCCATAACCAAGGTGGCTTTCTTCCCGGCAGAGGCTACACTGACCAAATATTCACTCTACGTCGAGTACTCGAACACCGCTACCAGTTCCAGCAGCCTACGTTTGTGTGCTTGTTGATTTTCGAGCTGCCTTTGATTCAGTTGACCGCGAAGCACTCCATACAATCCTACTTGCCGATGGCGTGTTGGTTAAACTCGTTAACTTGATGATATCATACTACAGTTGCACAAGGGCCCGGATTCGGGAGAAGAAACAGACGATTTCGACATCAATACTGGAGTCCGGGGTGGTTGCCCACCTTCTCCAGTGCTGTTCAACTTCGCAGTCGACTGGGTTATGCATCATGCCCTTGAGGGCTATCGTGGTGTTCAAGTTAGCCCTGACTTCTGGCTGTGAGATCTAGAAGTTGCTGACGATATCGCTATTGTTACGGAAGATGCTATATCACTAAAGTCACTGCTAAATCGGGTCGACCAATCGGTCTCGAATTTAACATCAGCAAGATGAAATACTTCTCATTGTTAGCTACCCAGTCCTCCGCGTCGCTCTCCTTACATGAACAACTTATCGAATCTGTTCCTGAGTTCAAGTATCTTGGATGCACTATACTCCCCAATGGTCAGGTTGCATCAGAAATCCGGAATAATATTGACAACGTTGGAACAGCCTTCTTACAACTGAGAAACGCATTGTGGCGAAGGACGGAAATCAGTCTGAGAACGCAGATCCGAGTTTTTTCAGCAACCATTCGTGTCATTTTACCCTATGGTTGGGAAACATGGCCGCTGCGATCCGAAGACATCCGGAAGCCTGAAGTTTTCGACCATTGGTGTCTAAGGCTTATCTTGCAAAGGCAGTGGCCTGAACGTATCGCCAGTGACGAAATCCCTAAGTGCTGTTCCGGTCTTCCGAAGCTCACAACGCTTATCCAAAGCCGCAGACTACAGTGGTTCGGTCACGTCCTCCGCAGATCAGACACTGACCACTATGGCCGTGGTTTCACCCTCACCTTACCAGGGTTTGTGTCGTCGCTGTGGTGGACAATCGAAAATGTGGCTCACTGCAGTGAAATCGGATGTCCATCTTCTGGGACTCCATGTCGTGCATGGTGCTCGTCACTGGAGGAATCATTATATCAGTGTGCGTGGAGCTTGCCACCGACCACCGCGCTTGGGCAGCTGCAATTCGCGACATTCATGAAGCCGGCTCATGCTGTCGCAGAAGCTAGCCGCAGTAAAGTAAAGTAAGTTGCAGCGAAACGTCGGTACTGCGTACCGGCTTACTGCTGATGGCGTGTTTCACTTTGGACATCAGTTAAGGGAAATATTTCGTTCATAGTAAGGAAGAACCGATGACGTACTTTTCCAACTTTGCAGTCCGCTAGTTCTATCTCATGAGGCGGTGATAAACTGACGGCATAACACTATCCAGTCCTAGGCTTATCGCGGTGTTTGCTATTCATCTGAGAGTTTACTTTGACTAATCGTCTACTACTGACCAAGCTCACATTCGAAGGGGAAATCCTTTTGTTCCACAAGCTTATTGAAGTTAATCAAAGTACTTGGAGGGTCAATTTTGGAATACACGTTGTGTGATTGGATTGCGACGCGCATTCTCAAAGGGGACTGCGGCTCACATGGAAGTGAACCTTTGTCACTGCGAGGTTTCGGCTACTATTCCAATGGTCGCGGGTTCGATGCCTGCTATCTCCACCTGATGAGATGAAATGGCATCGAAACGCGTCGTGGTTGTGCAGTGTTTTCGGGCGGGCAGCACCTAATTTCCATCTGCTTTGACTACGGTCCCAGTGATCGCAGTGACTAAGGTTCACTTCAATGTGAGCCGCAGTCCACTTTGAGATTGCGCGTCGCAATCCAATCACACAACGTGTATTCCAAAATTGACCCTCCAATTAGTCATTTACCGTTGTGCCAAGCGTTGCCCGCCGTGACCCGGTAGCCAAAGGGGTAGAGGTTTCGGCTACTATTCCAATGGTCGCGGGTTCGAGGCCTGCTATCTCCACCTGATGAGATGAAATGACATCGAAACGCGTCGTGGTTGTGCAGTGTTTTCGGGTGGGCAGCACCCAATTTCCATCTACTTGGTACCCTATTGAGCCTTGCTCGATTGGTACATTCGTTGACCAGTCGCAACGTTTGCGCACGTAGTGCTGACTGACGTCGATGCATTACTCCTCATTACGATAAACCCCATCTCTCCAGCCCATCGATGTACCCATGGGCTACCAATGAGTCATCAGTCTGAGTAACACGACAAATATGACAGTATAGACGAGGAGGAAATCGGAGATAGAT